CTTCATAATAATGTCTAAGCACGGATAAAAACAAGGTTTCTGTGCCAGTCACAATAAAACAAGCATCGTTTTCTTTTGGCTAGATTGAGTGAATGTTATATCCTTTTCAGTTACAGCTTTATTCTCATTCTATTCCCTCTTCTCTATAGGTAAGATTTATTAAGATACACAATCGTTGAGTTGTGCACACTTTCTGACATCCAATTTAGAGCAAATCTCTGCTTTTTTTTCTCTTCAAAATTACCCAGTCAAAGTCTAAGTTCTATAATGTGTTTTTTCTAACACCCTCATACTGATACTCTCCATGATTCCCCATGATGTGTTCTCCTTCACTTCAGTGAGTGATAAACTCAACCTGTTTAACTACAGTCGTATTACTGGTAGTCTTTGGATAAATGACATTACAATCTAGATAAACCCAAAATGGCTCTAATGTAGAACTTTCAGGTAATAAATGAACAAAAGAAGTGTTACCCATGTATTCTTTTGTTCTAATCAGAATTTTTGGATTTTCAAAGTATTATAAATCCAAAATTATCATGCTAGTTATTCCATTCCTTGTAACTTTAGATTCTTAAAGAATTAGAATCAGGCTTCTGAGTAAAATAATGATATATTTTAATAAAACCTCTGAAATATTAACTTTATAAATCAAGATATTTCCATGTTTAAAAAGATTACTTTTTTTAGCATGTATAGCCAGTTATGCCTTATATTAAGAAATAAAATTAGAAGATCCTTTAAAACAAACTAGATAAATCAAGAAAGGTCAAAGAAATTAAGTTAATAATACATTGTATCACTAGCTAAATTTAATTTTGTATTTAAAATTATACCACTTAATATTAGATGTTTCTTTAAAGAAGTGCAGAAAGTAAGTAATAAAATAATAATTATTTATTGTTACAAAATAGTAATAAATATGATAACAAAGGTAATAGGCATTATTGTTTCAGGATCTACTCTTGCCAAGTAGTTCGTATATGTTATTCCTAGATCTGAGTTAGTCTAGCAAATTGCTATTACTATCCTCATTTAAAACAACAATAAAGAAAACTAAAGTTTAGAATTTTAAAGCAAGATGCTCAAAATCAAATAGCTAATAAGTGCGACAGATTTTCAGTCAGATTAAATTTAGTTCAGTCTGATTTCTAAGACCTTATGTTCTCAGAATCACCACTTCACTTCTTTCCGTAGTTGCAGTAGAAGATGAAATAACATGATTATATCTAAGAGATGTAGCAATGCATAACAGTTAAATACAGGTATGAAAGTCTGCTATTACCTAATAAAGGTGCTCTAGATGAAATATGCCATTTAGAAGTAAGTACAAACCTAAAGAAAATAGAAAAGCAAGATATAAAGTTATGCATTGAAAAGGAAATGCAGGTTAAACAATAATGGCTAACTAAAATGGATAGTACTACTTCTAATTCAATGGTCATGTAAGGAACATGACTAGAAGATATTATTTTTACAAAAGAGATAGTGATACCTATTAAGGAGGCAAGGGCAAAAAAATTATTGGCAATAAAAAATTTAATCAATGAAAATATGTCCTTTATATCAGTGGAATAGAGATAGAAATTTTAGATGAAGAAGAGTAATTGAAAGCACAATGATTGACTAATAACACAAGAAATATTAAACTGTGTTTTCCAAGAACACAATAGTTACCCTTGTTTTTAAAGGTGGAAGCATTAGAGTCCTCTGTGTCATTCGTAGAGCATAAACATGCTTTGGAGATACCATCCTCTTTAACTAATGATATTGTAAATAAAATGGAAAATTAAGCCTAAAAAAAATGATATTTACATTTGGTAAAATTCACTGTGCCCTCTTAAATCTGCTGATTACTATATGCACTCTCCTAATACATGAACATTCTATCTTCCTACATAAACGTTCAATGGTTATAAATCTTATAAAGATAATTACTCTTCCCTACTCCATCTACTGTCTTGACACAATCCATATAACAAATTATTCAACAGAAATAACTATGCCTCATTAATGCTTCAAGTAACACTTGTGTTTTACTCTATGATTTTGTTGTGTTTAATCACAAATTTCTCTTTATGTAGCCAACACAGAGAAAATAATATAATTCAACGTAAAGAGGGCATTTACCCTTGAAGCAGAATGTGGTTTGTCACTATTCTGTGTAGTAGGTCTCAAGGGTTTATTCTTCTTGCATAACTAAAATTGTGTACCCTTTAATTAATATCTCTTGTTTCCTCCTCCCTCCAGATGCTGGCAATCACTATTCTACTCCATGTTTCTATGAATTTGACTATTTTACATTCCTATTATAAATGGAACTATGTAATATTTGTCCTTCTGTGTCTGGCTCATTTTACTTAGCATATGCCCTCAAAATTCATCCATGTTATCACAAATGGCAGGATTTTTAAAGCTGGAATAATATTCCATCGTACATATATACTAAATGTTCTTTATTCATTTAGCGATAAACATCTAGATTGCTTCTATGTCTTGGCTATTGTGAATAATGCTGCAACGAACATAGGAGTACAGGAGATTCTAATTTCAACTCTTGGATATATACTCACAAGTGGGATTGGTCAATCATATAATAGTTCTGTTTTAATTTTTTTAAGCAACTTCCATACTCTTTTCCATAGTGGCTACACCAATTTACATTCCTACCAACAGTGTACTAGAAGTTCCTTTTTCTCCACATCCTCAGCAGCACTTATCTTTTTCTTTCCTTCTTTTTTTTTTTTTTTTTTGTAATAGGTATTCTAATAAGTATGAGGTAACTTCTCATTGTGGTTTTGATGTGTATTTCCCTGATGATTAGTGATGTTGAACACAATTTCATATACTTGTTGGCCATTTGTGTGTCTTTGGAGAAATATCTGTTCAAGTCCTTTGCCCTTTTTTTTAATCAGTTTGTCTCTTTTGTTTGTTATCAAATTGTAGGATATCCCTATATAATTTGGATTTATCAGATATATATCTGCAAATATTTCCTCCCATTCCATGGGTTGCCTTTTTATTTTGTTAATGGTTTTCTTTGCTGAGCATAAGGTTTTTAATTTAATGTAGCTCTAACTGTTTATTTTTTGTTTTTTGTTGCTTGTGCTTTTGGTGTCATATCCAAGAAATTACTGTCAAGAACAATGTCAAGAAGATTTCCTCTATGTTTTCTCTGAGTAATTTTATAATTTCAGGACTTAATACTGTATTATATGCTTAAAAATTTGCCAAGAAGGTAGACCTTATGTTAAGTATTCTTATCACACATCATCACCATTATTATCATCATCATCATAAAAAAAGGGTAGAAGAAAACTTTTTGAAGATGATGGATATGTTTATGCCATAGATTATCATAATTGTTTCATGGATATATAATTATCTCCAAACTCATCAAGTTGTATACATTAAATATGAAGTTTTTTCTATGTTAATCATGCCTCGATAAAGTGATTTTTAAAAAAAGAATGTCATTTGTCAAATTATCAATTGACCAAAGATTAAAAAAAAAAAATTAAGCTAACAAATCCTTCTTCAACATTCCTTCCTGACTTTCCATTCTCTACTGTTTTAGATCACAGACAATGTCTTAGAAGACTATAGGAAAATAAAAAAGTTTATTTTCATACTGATTGTGAACAATCATGTCATTAGTAGAATTGGATTACAATATTCTATTTGCAAGCCTGTGCAAACATCTATCATGTACCAAGCCTAGCTCATAAGAAATTTAATCCAAAAAAGATTATATACAATAAGAATTATTAAAAGAAAGGCAATGTAAATAAATCTTTCAAAAAACAAGTATCTTAGGCACCTCAAGCTGTATTTCAGTTTTATAGAGATACACTAAAATAAAATTGGTTTTCAGAGTTATGATTAAAATTGTTAAAAAATTTCAAGAATTAAAGAGTACATTTTTGGATATCAAAAATTCTCTTTAAATAGTGATTCACAAGAGTATCAAATCATGTTTTAAAAATACAAAGCAGAAATGACTGTTTCCATGGTTTTAAACATTAGCATTACTCAATATTAGTAAAACTAGTAATTATTATCACAATACAAATAATTTACTAATGTGAATTATGTGCATTTTAAATGGGAATAAAACCTTTTATATGCAAATTTTATAAACCATCTGTAAATATATTTGATAAAAACATCACAATGATAAGGGTTTTGCTTGTCATTATTATTAAAAAAATCTCTTCAAATATCTAATTAGCATTTGTGTTGCAGACACTAATAATTGAGAGAAATGTGTTTATTACATCGAATTGTAGTTCACAGCAGTGTAACTACATTGCATGATTTTTTCATATTGAAGAATTTATATTTCACTCTAAAATTCTGACAGTGGAATCTAAGATTTATGGGAATCAAACTTATTTTTGAAACCAGCAGTAAGGTGTCAAATGCTTAAAAATGTGATAAGGTAGAAGTCAGGAGATCTAGGTTCTAATAATAATGCCATGAGCTTTCAATTTTAGACAAGTCATTTAATCATCATTGGCTTTCACTTTACTATTTGTAAAATGAGAAGTTAGATTTCATGTTCTGAAAGTTCTCATATCAGTTAAGTGTCTATGAGTTTGTTTCATAAATTAATAATAATCACAGCTCTCAATTGCCTTCTCTAAAATGCCTATTTTGTGTCAAGCAATAAGCTAGTCTCTTTCTATGCAATATCTTAATCCTCACATCAAAAATATCTTTATTTCAGAGATTTGAACAGGGGCTCTGGGAGAGCAATTTGCCCGATGGCACACAACAAATAAATGTGGAATTCCAGCTGAGTTCTGTCTTTCTGCCCTCATACCAAATCAATCATATATTCTGATTTTTATTCAACAGATGACAGAATATTCAATCATTTAAGCTGCATGACAAAGCTGAAAATAATTGTTCAACTATCACATAATGGCATTAAAAAAAAAAAACTTCTATTTGAACCATAACCATCAACAATTCAGTAAGAAAGTTTTTTTACTTACAAGCTGTTCCAGAGATATGACTCCTTTAAATATTTGCTTATTTAGGGCATGAATTTCATCCTTGTACAGGTATCTGAAAAACACATAAAATTCTATTAAATTATTAATTGTTATAGATGCCACACATCTTAGATTATGACTATTATAAATTACAGTGCGGACATAGGAATTTTATTAATAGAGTCCCTAAAAATATATGGAAACATTAATTTCACTGAAATATGTTTGATTGTCTGAGTAAGAGAATTCCAAGGCTCTCATCACATTCTCAAAGGGATCCTTGATCCAAAATATTAAGAATCACTGCCTTAGGCTCTGAAAGTTAAAGTGATTGTAAAAAAAAAAAAAAAATCTGACTAACGAGGTCATATGCACTGGGTAGTAACTTCTATAAGAAAAAGATAAGTTTAACTGTAGCAATTTCTATTTGTTTGTTTGTTTATTATGCAAGGAGACCCTTGGTTGATCTCACAGATTGCAAGGACTTTGTCAGCTTACAATATCTTATTTTTTACTTTTTTATACCTATAGCACCTGGTCTTTCTAGGTGGTCTTCCATTCAAGTACTAACCAGGCCAGACCCTGCTTAGCTTCCGAAATCAGATGGGATTGGGCTTGTTCAGGGTGGTATGGCCATAGACTAACTGTAACAATTTTTAAAAATCCATTCTATCATACTGAATATATTGAACTGAGAGTTACATTTGCAAAACTAGCAAATATCACCATAAAGGCTCATCTGAAGGGGGCTAAAAACATATTAACCAATTCACAAGATACATTTTTGTTCTCCCGTTGCTGCTGCTGAAAATCTACAGGAAAGAATACTGTAAATGGATTTACAAATATGGTGGTATATACAATCTGACCAAAAGATTTGATGAAAACAACTTATCTAACAAATGAGCACGTTCTTTGTACTTTTTTCCTTCAACTATGGCAAAGTCATTTCATCTCTAATCTTTATGGTTTTTGTAAATGTTATTAATGTGAAATCTTGGATCTTTTTTACTTATGCCTCTGACAAACAGAATTCCTGAAACTTTCTAACCAGTTCCTTTGAAATGTTCCTTTACATAGGCTACAGCTCACAATTATTGTGAGTACATCAGAATCACCTGGTGGTTTGTTAAAAACACCAATTCCTGAGCCCACCAAAAATCCTGCTCTATCTAGTTCCGTTGGGGTGAGGTCTAGGAAACTATGTTTAACAAGTTTCCCAGGTGATTCTAATACAATCCATCTTCGAATAACTTAGAAACCATAGAAATACAATTCTATCTAACAATGAAGGGACTTCTTTTCCAAATTTTGCTTAGTGAAGCTTTGGAAGTTTCAAACTACTTTCTTTTCTCACAGATTAGAACTCCTTCAAGTTTCTCAAAGCAGTAATGACTTGAGGGGATTTATACCTAACTGGAGATTTTTTCACCAACATTATTCAATACTATGAAAAATCTTGCTTTGGCCGGAAGTCTCAAAAATATAGTTACATGTTAAGATGGCAAGAAAAAGAATGTTCTAGAATCATATTTCTTCAAATAGGTTATAAGGAGCATTGAGCTGTGGTCTTAAAAAACACTAGTGGTTCTCAAACATGGATGTATGTCAATCAGTGAAGAGGTATGTGAATCAAAAATATTTTAAGAGAATATTTTGAGCTCTCTCTTAAGTCTTATATAGTAGCCCCCCCTTATCCATGGGAAATACATTCTAAGACCCCCAATAAATGCATGAAACTGCAGATAGTACTGAAATATCTATATCTATATCCATCTATCTATCTATCTATCTATCTATCTATCATCTATCTGTCTATATATACACATATATGTAGATATATATGTGTATGTATGTATACATATATATGTATATATAAATGTTTCTTCCCATACATACATAACTTTTCTCTTAAAGAAAGCATTTACAGCTTCTCTTTGGCATATCTAAATTACCAGCATCCTACTCTTGTGTTTTGGGGCCACTATGGGTAAAATAAGAGTTAGTTGAACACAAGCACTGCAATACCAGGACAGTCAACCTGATAAACAAGTTGGCTTCCAAGTGACAAATAGCCAGGTAGCATATACAATATGAACACTCTTCTGGACAAAGGGATGATTCATGTCTCAAGTGAAAAGAGCTGGATGGCATGAGATTTCATTACACTACTCAGAACTGCGTATAATTTAAAACTTATAAATTGTTTATTTATGGAATTTTCCATTTTTATTTTTGGACTGTGGTTGATTGAGGATAACTGAAACCATGGAATGCAAAACTGTGGATAAGGGGTTTGGGGGTTACTGTACTGATACCTGAGACCCAGAAATTCTGATTTAATAATGGATCTGACACTCGAAATAGGCATTAAGATGCTTCAAAACTACACAGTGATAGTAGGCAATAAAGTTGAAAACCTCTATTCTGGGGGTATGGACTAGGTCAAAAGTATTCCAAACTGCTCAGATAGACCTCTCCAATAAGGATCTTCAGATACTAGAGGGTCAAAGAACCACATTACTTTGAGGGTATCAGACACTGAAGCATAAAGAAATTGAACCAATTTGTATAGTGATTTGCATAAAGCCTTTAATAGTTTTCTTTATTGTTGTCATATTTAAATAATGATGAATTGATTCATAAAGATTAAACTAAATTATCAATGTTTACTGAGGAGACTCAAAACTGAAAACTGAAAGCTATCCATATATGTTATATCTACAGAATTATTTTAGACTGCTATAGGATCAGTAGGAATGGGCCCATTTTCATTTATGATATTAATAATTTGTATTTTCTCTCTTTTTTTCTTGTTTTCCTTTCTAGAAGTTTATCAACATTGTTGATCTTTGCACACAATCAACATTTGGTTTTATTAGTTCTCTCTATTGTTTTCTTGTTTTCAATTTCATTGATTTCTGCTCTAGTATTTTTTCTTCTGCTTGTTTTATGTTTATATCACTCTTCTTTATTTAATTCTCTAAAGTAGAGCTGAAATTATTGACTTTAGATCTTTTTTTCTTTTCTAAGATATGTATTCAATTCTATAAATTTCCTTATAAGCCCTGCTTTCACTGTATTCCACAAATTTCAATAGTTTGGATAGTCATTTTTATTCATTTCAAAATGTTTTTAAATTATCTTGAGACTTTTTAAAATTACATTTTACTTAGAAATTTATTGCTTAAACTCTAAATATTTGGAGATATCCCAGCTATTATTTGGAATAATAATTTATTATTATAAATTAGTTTAAATTCCTTGTTTTCTGATAACATGATTTCTATTATTTTAAATTTGTTGAGGTATGTATTATGGCCTAAAATATGGTCTATCTTAGTAAATCTACCATATGAACTTGAGAAGAATGTGTATTCTGCCATTGTTGAATGGACTATTCTAATGTTAATTAGGTTCACTGATTGATTGTACTGCTGATTTCAATTATGTCCTTACTGATTTTCTGACTGCTGGATTTGCCAATTACTTAACACAGGGGTATTGAAGTCTCCAACTGTACTAGAAAATTAGTTTATTTCTCTTTTTAAGCCTGTTAGTTTTTGTCTCAAAGTATGATGCTCTGTTATTCAATTCATACACATAAAGGACTGTTATGTCTTCTTGAAAAAATCAATCTCCGTTATCATTATGTAATGACCATCTTTAGCTCTTATAGATTTATAAGAGCTTGTTCTGAAATCTGTTTTATCTGAAATTAATATAACTACTTTCTTTTTCTTTTAGTATATGTAACATGGTACATCTCTCCATCACTTTACTTTTAATTTAAATGTGTTTTATTTAATGTGGCTTTCCTATAGACAATTATAGTTGAGTCTTTTTTTTATCCATTCAAACAATGTCTTTATTCTAATTGCTTTTTTTAGACCATTCACATAAGATTATTGATATATTTGGATTAATATCTGCCATACATGTAACTATTTCTATGCATTGACATGATATATCAAGTAATAGGAACTGAAGTAGATAGTTGTTCAGTACCAAAGGATGACTTCTATAATATGTGCAACGCATTCTCATATAATTTAGTAAAAATATATTATGCATAAAAACATATAAAGCAAATGTTAAATAATTAATTAATTTAATTAATTTTTATTAGATAGAGGGTATACAGGTATTTGACAACCTTTCTGTTGCTTATACTTTTCGAAATAAAATTTTGAGAGAAAATAAAAAAGATTTGAATGCTTATGACATAAAATTAAACACACATTTTAGTTCTTTCAAAGGTTTCATGATGCACAGAAATACACACATTTTTAAGAAAACATGACAATTGTATGTGCCTCTATGAAGGCAAATAAAGTTTGTCTTTACTTAAAAGTAAAATAGCTTATCATTAATTATTAACTCTTCAAGGAAGGACTAGGAGTTATTTCAAGATGGGGAATGCTATCTAAAAGTAAGTTTAACTTTAAACTACTGAATACATTATGAGATTATTTTTATCATATACATCAATCATAACTTTTTCAAACCATTAAACTATCTTAACCATTTTAAAAAGATTATTCTATTTAAGTAAAATATTCTAGTCCAAAATCTAAATAATTCCTCCAGTAAAACTGAAACTAATTTAAATCTATAAACCCATATTTTTTTCCAGTAATAAATCAGAGAAACATCATCAAAAACCTCTCCAAATAGCCTGGCTAGAGACAGATGCACTAAAAAAAAAATAATAATAATAATTTTAGCACAGAAAATATTATGTTTAGATGTTATACTAAAAATACACAATTTTTTACATATGGTTTTGCTGCGCAGCATCCATATGCCTCCTTCTAGCAACAGCACTGAAAAGCAACCTCCCAATTTCTTAGTTAAGTTGTTTACACCCAGCTCTAGAGGAATAAGTCAGTGACATTCTATACTTCTGGCCACAATGACTGGCTCAGGGAAGGACATAAGCCAGTAAAACACAAGAAGACATTGCTAGCCTTCTCATATATCAAAGAACTTTGTCTTCTCCATGAGTTAACAAAAGAAACCCACTCTTTTCACTGCACAGAGTGGCATGAAGGATCTAGCATAGAAATTTTG